ATCCCAATTCCCCCTTCAAAGAACCCCCCACCCCCTTGCTTTTGGAGCCCTTATTATTTGGATTTTGAATTTCCTGAAATAGTCCTTTCTTTTTGTTCTGCATTCTAGGAAATTTTCTCAACTTTTCCTTCCAATCCTTCTATTAAGCTTATACTCTCCTATTTTCAATTCTAAATGTCTAAATGTCTCCCATGATAGTGGCTTCTCTTAAGTGTCTGATGATCCTTGGTCGTCTGCTCATATTTAAGAATAAGGCAACAAACTGCCGACAGGCAATTCTGAGTATACAGGTGGGGATTTGTCAGTTGTAAACTTACCTTAGAGTAATTTCTTTGGGCTTATAGTTAGGGAACCTTCCACATCAGTATCTTCAGGTCTTTCCTTTTGGGTTGATCAGAGTCCATATAGAAGGATCTTTGATCTCCTCCTTGGAAGTTGAAACCCTGGCTGCCCTGAATCTGGGAGCCAAGTTGGTAAACACATCTGGAGGCCTCGGCACCCAATACACAAATGTTCACTTAATTCCCTTACCCCAAGACACCTCCTGCTTCATCATCTGCAGAGGATAAGTTTGCAGTATTTTCCCTCAGTGGGAGAGAGGCATTTGTTTGCCTGACTGCATGGAGTTGGGAAGGGAATCTGGGGATCTGATTGCTTCTTAAACAGACTGGCAAACAATCCTCCCTATAGTATTACCCCTTTTCCTCACTTCACTTCAAGGGGAACCTGGAACTGGCTGGTTAGGAATCTTTTGGTGACACTTCGGTGTATATAGGTTTGATTATCGATTTACCTCATTGCCCCCTTAAGATGCAGTTTTGAATCTACTACATCTTTTATCACTCTTCTGCTTTTCCAGCTAAAAGACTTCTCAAATTTTGTTGCCATTGTCTCTTCTTTGGCTTCCCATTTTAATCCTTAAAAAGTCATTTTATGACATGACATGATTTACTTTAACTTAACATGGGGGTGGAAAAGCAGGAGGAAAGATAGAAGAATCCATAATTATTAAAGATGGGTGATTAAGTACATGGAGGTTCTTAACACTACTCTGTCTACTTTTTTTTTAATAGGTTTAAGACTTTCTGTCATAAAAATATTTTTAAAAAATCCCTTTACTGATTTCTTAGTGTGATATTAGGATGGAACAAACTTCAGAGCATGTGCTAAACTGCCATCTCTACCTAGAAGTACAGAACCATTCATTTTTCAATAAATATTTATTAAGCATCCACTATGTACTAGGCATTGTGCCAAGATACACACAAGAATATGGAAAAGAGATTATTTATTTTACTTGGTCTACTATACTGAGTTTTAAAAAATTAAAATCTATGGCTATCTAGGTTTGATGTTTTAGAGTGGCAGTATTTTTTTCCTTTTCCAACTCTGAATTTGTCTTGATTTTGGTATAAATGCACACTTTTATGAAATATGAAAGAAGGAATCCTAAAGGGGAAAAAGACATTGAATATAAGATGGACCATTAGGGAATATCTCCTCAAGTCTGAAAATAGCATTCACACAAGCCATTTAATGGCTTAAATTATAAATTTCATTAACAAGGACTAGAGCACTCTTTTTACCTATGAACACAGAGAAAAGGCAAAATTGGTACCCAGGAAATCCTGCAAGGGGTTCTTGCTAGCTGGCTGATAAAAGAGAATAAGGAGAGTGGACCTTTGATGACTAGTAGAATGTGGCTTATAATAGAGTGGAAAATCTTGGCTTTTAGTTCAACAGCGATGCAAGTGCCATGAACTGAAGGTAACATTTATAAAACTAATTGTTACATAAAATTGTTCCCTTTAGTCCCAAAGGGATAGCTGTGGAAAAGAAAGCAAGAACTCTTAGCTGCTCTCCTGTGGAGAAAGGAGCTACAGGGGAGTCCATTACCCATCAAACTTGGTTCTAGTTGGAGAATGCTAGGAGGCCACTCACTCCATCTAGAAAGCAACTTGCCACTTGACTTGATTAGCTCTATTCTCTTTCCTCCTCCTCTTCCTTCTATGAACTTTCTGGAATATTTCCTCCTAAATCAGAGGCCAAGTTCAAGTCAATCTCCCAAGGAAGCAAAACCCATTGCCTTGATTACTTTTCTTTTTGACAGTAAAGGTTTCTCTGGGCAACTCAGGTCTCCCTCATAAAATTATGTGTGTATGTGTTTTTGAGTGTAGAGTGGGGGCTCTTAGAAAGTGGGAACTGAAACTTTGTTGACAGAATTATTATGTCTGCCCAGTGGCAGGCTAAGGTGAATGGACAGGGACATAAAATATATCAGATTATAACATTCTTGAGGCAGGATGGGTTTGAGATTTTCTGTTCCTCACAGCATGCAGCACCAACCCTGCATGTAAGAAATATTCATTATATTTCAATATTGATTGATACTGATTAATTTACACTATAGATACAGTACTCTAAATTTAATCACTGAATTTGTATTACTAGTTGTTTTTCCCTGAACTTTTTAATAAAGCCTTCTGGCTCTATCTAGCAAGGTCAGCAAAGGCCCAGAAATTAGTTATAAGTGACACAAAACTGTGGTTTTTATACTCTTTTTGTCTTCCATATATATTGGGAGTATTTTGGAAATCCATTGGTGGGAATAATATTCCTGTATTAAAAATTATACATGCAAAGACTACATAACAGCATGAAAAACTAATTCATGTTATAATGTCTCATGTTATAATGTCAAATGATTGATAGATTTAATTCCAGCCTCCCTTTTTTGAGTGTCTACTATGTACTCAGTCTCATGTTAGGTGCATGGTACAGACGGATGCATGGCAATCCTATTGCTCAAGGAGTACATAATCTAAGGAGAAATAAAGTATAAAACAGTATGGGCCATAATAGATGTGAAAAACTTCACCAGTCAGTCCTTCAAAGGAGTGAAGGAGCCCTCATAACTGAGGGTTTGGGCAGATAGCTATTTCTTCCTCTGAATTAGTTATATGAGAAATAGGAGAAGAAACTAGTTCTCTCCTCCCTTTTTTTTTTTTGAAAACAGCATAAATCCTTCAGATGGGATTACATTCTCCTTTCTCCAATATTTCTCTTTGGGTTTACCACTGAGTGATAGAATCTTACCCTTAGAATGGGCCTTAAAAGTTCTAGTGTCAGACTTCCCATCTGATGTTTAGGTCTTTGTTTGCTACAGAAAATGGCCATTGGGCCTATATGATTTAGAACACACTAGATTACAAATAGCAGAAAACTCGAATCCTGTTGGTTTCATCAAAGAAGGTAGACCTGGGTTCTGAAGCCATTTCATCAGAGAGCCTCAAAAACATCAAAGATCATATTTCTTTACTTTCTCCATGCCTGCTTTATTTAACCTAGCTGGACCTTGTGCTTGGAAGACGACTGAGGGGCTCCTTAATTTTTTTTCCATACAACATGATGGTGATATTCTTTCAATTTTTGTTGTTGTTGTTATGCTCCCTGGGTTTTGGAGTACATGCAGAAAGAGGAAGTCCCTGCTGAAGTTGTTTTGGAATATGTGAAACAGACAAACAAAAACGTCCCCAAAAGGCCACAGTAAATTGCTCCTCTTATTGTCCCAAATTGTGTCATGCCCATTGCCAACTAGTAACTGTGGCAGGGATGGGACTATGTTGCTTTATTTAGGTTGGAATTATGCTAATTTGTTTATATTGCAACCACATGCTCCAGTACACAGCCAGGGCAGGGATGTGACGGCTAAGAACAAGGGGTGTTAACCTAGATAAGGGAGAGTGGATAATGGAGAAACTACCACAGGATATGGCACAAGGTCTAGGGTGTGGCCATTGACAAGTCATGGAAACCCCCGGCCCCAAGCAACAATTGCCTTCTCCCTCTGGACAGCTTGGGTTGTAATAAAGCACAGCAACTGCATATTTGCAGCTAAATCTACCTCCTTGTTTCGACGCAAGTCTGGGCTTCAATGACTCCTTCTTGCCATGTTGTTGCCCTCAAGGTGTTGGCTGCTTCCTTCAATTTGTTACCTTGGATGTGCCTTCTTTCTTCAGTGTTTCTTCTGCCTGGCCCTTACTGGTCTTTACTGCACTAACTGAGCCAAAAACACTGGCTGCCACTGGAGAAAACCTTATTTCCATTTCCAAACTGAAAGGAACTGAAGTTTAGTTATTTTGTCCTCTTTTTACTCTCTTTGGGGCTTCTTTGGGCTAAGTTCGGAACTTGCGCCAAGATAGTGGCTGTGCGACCAAACCTCTCTGGGCCATCTCTGCAAAATGATGGCACTGGCTTGATCCGTTTCCAAGAACGCGTCTCGCTGTCCAATTCCGTGGCCCTGAACAGGATTCGCGTGGGAAAAGGTGATTGTAGACTTGGGGGGCTTGTGTGAGTGGAGTGTTTGGGTACCTGAAGCCCACAATGCTTTGTATAGTTTGAGGGAGTTTTGACCCTTTTCCTGCATTCTGCTCAGCGACGAATTCGACCAGCTGCACCAACTCCAAGCGCGGACCGAGGTGGCTCGGTCTCCCTTCCCCACGCACGCAGAACGTCCGGGCTCGGCCGAGCGCTGCGTCCGGCGTCCAGCGCTGCTTGGTCAGGAACTGCAGCTTCCAGGGCTCTGCGGCCTCGGGCTGGGTGGCCTGGTTAGCGAATCCAGATGCTCCCGCAGCTGCGTCTCTCTCGCGCCGCTCCGCCGCCCGACGCAGGAGCGGGACAAGCCGGAGGAGGCGCCAGGGTGCCTGCCGCCCCGCTCCCGGGGGCACGGACTAGACGCCCTCGGCGGGCGGCCCGGCCCTACTTCGCGGGGTGGCTGCGCGCGTCTCCCGCCCCTCCCCGGCGGCCGCGACTCCGTCCCGCTTCACCCCACCGCGGGCTTTGTCCACCGGCCGCGCGGCGGCCCCTCCCCGTTCCCGCCGGCTCCTCCCCACCCCCTCCGCTGGCCCCACTTCCTCGGCGCAGGCGGCGGGAGCGAGCCGGGGACGAAAGGGTTAACCCGGGGCTCTTCCCGGCGCGGAGGGATCCAGAGCCGAGCCGAGCGCGGTGCTGAGGCCGCCTCAGCGAAAAAAATGTCCGCCTGAGGAGACCCACAAGTTCTATTCGGGGGGACCGCCAGCCCGCCCCGGGAGGAAGGGGCGGCCAGGCCCGAGAGCCGCCTCCCCTGCCCGGATCCGAGAGCTCGCGCGGGGCAAAGTGAGCTGAGCCGCCGGGAGGTGCAAGGGGAAGCCCGAGCCCGCTCTCCCGGCCAAAGTGAACTTTAATCGGGGTGGTTGGATGCGGAGACGGGGCGGCAGGTAATTGCGGAGAGGCGAGCGGGAGGGGTGCGCCGTGGCGGGGCTGGGGGCTGAGGGGCGCCGTCGCGTCCCTGCCGGAGCGGAGGCGTCCCCCGCCCGGCGCCCCAACTCCGTGCTCCTTTGTACAGAGAGGCGAGCCCGGGGTTCCCTCCAACTTGGGGAGCGGAGTGGGGGCGGAGGCGAGAGTCGCGGGCGGCCAAGGCCCGCGGGCGGCGCGCTCGGCCTGCGCGCCCCGCTCGCCACTCGGCTCCGGCTCTAGGGCGCGCGGGAGAGCAGGCTGCTTCGGCCGCCTCGCCGGGCTCATTGTTCGGCAGGTCTGGGGCTGGCCGGCCGCAGGCAGAGCAGCAAAAGTGGGAGGAGGCCGAGTCCGGGGAGGAGGACGCCCGGCAAGAGCGAGACTAGTTGTCGGGGTTTGTATTTTCTTTTTAAAAACGCCCCTCGGACGCGCGGGGGTTGCTTTCCGACCCCCGGGGCCCGCTGGGGACGTCCGGGCGGCGGCGGCGGCAGACGCGGGCCTGCGAGCGGCGCGTTCCCTGCAACTTGTCAGTTCTATTGTTGCCGAGCCTGTGAGTCACTTCGCATCTCCCCTAGTCGCCGCTCCGCTCGCTGGATGCCCTGTCGCCCCTCACCCCGCCCCTCGAGACCCCCGCCCGGCCGGGCGCCGCGCCGAGCACCCGGCGGCCGCGCGGGGTGGGGGCACCGGGGAGGGGGCAGGGTTGGGCTCGGAAACTTGCGGGAGAGGCGGCGAGTTGCGGGAGCCGCCGCGACGCTCCCTGGCCGCGCGGAGGAACGCGTGGATTCACCGACCCGGCGCGGTGCTGGGCTCTCCTGCCCCCTGCCCGCGCGGCGGTGGGAACGAGTGGGGTACTGGAAGTCAGCCCACGGCTCTCGCTCCTGCCCTACGCCCCTTTTCATCCCCGCACACACTTTGGGCCTCGGTGGTCTCTCTGAGCCTGTTTCCTCTGCTTTAGGACCCGCTAGAAGTGGCTGAAGATGAATCCCCAGCAGCAGCGCATGGCTGCTATAGGGACCGACAAGGAGCTGAGCGACCTGCTGGACTTCAGTGCGGTATGGAGCTTTCCGCGGCATCTTGGGGTTCTGCTGAGGTTTACAAAAAAAACAAAAAAAAAACAACAACAAAAAACAAAAAAAGAAAAGGAAAGGAAGGGGGAAAGCGACGTGGAGACTAGGCAGCGTGAACTCCATCTGCTTTGAGCAGTAGTTCTCAGGGCTGGAGTCCAGCTCCCCCAAGTTGGACACCTGAACTTTGATGTAATGTCTAGACTTGCAGATTTAAAACTTTAATGCCAGAGGGGTCATTTGATTTAGCCAGTTAAAAGGAGAACAATGTAACCATGAGCTTTGGTTGAGTCACCCTCTGACCCTGATGATTATTAGGGATTTTGAACTTTATAAGAAGAAAAGAAAATTATTTTTTCTGCACTCCATTTCCTTCCCTAAGATGTGATAGTTTATAATATCCGAAAGATGTCAGTTATGAGAAAGCCAGTTAAAGGCTAGAATTTCCAGCCTTTTTGGCTGAACACTTTTAAGTACATGTATATTTATGTGTGTATATGTGTATATATATGTATGTGTATACATAAGTACGTATGTGTATATTTATAAATCTTTTACTATGGGGAGTAATTGAATGACTTAAAAATAGCTGAAACCGAAGGCCTACTGCCTTTATCTCTAAAGGGTTGAATTCCTTTTTTAACTGTTGTTAGGAGTCAGGACCAATACCTACTTTATAAAACTGGGTTATAATGGATCCTTACTCTATGTAGTAGTTTCATTGGATGTGATTCTGATTGTGTGTATTCAATGGTAATGTAAATGTAATGAGATTTCTGTTAGAAAGTGAAGATCATGGACAAAAATTTACAATTTAAACTTAATAATCTTAGATTTTCTCATGTAAGTGACTGGGTTTTGAGAACAGAATATAACCAGTATTTCCAAGTAGCATTAGGAAATAGTATCACTCAGTGTATTTGCTTTTCTGGGTCTGAATGTATATCTTCAATTTTATCTTAACTTCGTTCTGAAATACAGTAACTGATGACTCTTGGTGGACTTTTGTTTGCAAGGAGTCTAGAAGAATTTCAGGACTAACAGATACATTTGGGTTATTTTGTAGATGTTTTCTCCACCTGTTAATAGTGGGAAAACCAGACCAACGACACTGGGAAGCAGTCAGTTCAGTGGATCAGGTAAGATGATATCTAAAACCAGAAACTCTTATTTTGGTGTTGTGATACCTTTTAGTAGAAAAATATGAAGTATTTTAATATTTTCATGTCATTCTGTAGTGTCCAGTTCAAATTAGAAGCAATTCAGGATCCATTGATATTTCTGAGAATTTAAGTATTGATGTAAATTTTTTCTGTTTTCCATGAATTTTTAAGTTCAGTTTGTTTTGTTTGAGTACAAGGGATTACATCCTGCCTCTGTTTGGACAAGTACCAGAAGAAAACACTCGGTGGTCCATGTGTGGTCTTTTTTTTTTAATGTTTATTTACATATGTGTATTTTTAAATTTTGCTAAAATTTCAGCCTATTAGCATTATTTACATTTGGGTTCTAAAAAATTGGTGAAATAATGTTATTTAATATATGCGTATGAAAAGTGGAATTGAGTCAAATAATTAGTTAAGACTTATTTTAGATTGCCGTTTCTTTGGAAGTCTGCAGCAAATTAACAATTTTTAGGACAGTTATTTAAAATGTTAAAGGAATGAATGTTACAAATAAATGAATAGAAAGATTTATTTTCAAATGACATCTATTAGATGACATTAGGATAATGTTTAGAATAAGTTAAATTAGATAACTATTCCTACACTGGTGCTGTGGTTTTTAAATTTACTTTCTGTATATTTATAACTACTTTGCTCCATTATTAACGTTTATCCCATATTTCTTAAGTATGCATTTTTTGTTTTTCTAACTTATCTAAACTCATGATTTCAAAAATAAACAGTCCAGAAGCAAGGTCCATTCTAGTGTTCAAAACCTGCAATTTTCTTTTTAACTTAAACTTATTCTTAGTTCTCAAAGATGAAAAAAAAAAAAATAAAGCCATGGATAGCATCATCTTAAAACCAGCTGTCAAATCCCTGGGCTGAAATTTAGTAATTCCCTCTTTGACCTGTGCTTTTATTTTCCCTAGTAAAATGATTTCTTAAGATACTATAAGAGCAAAACATCAGGAAAGAAGGAAATGTCGTAACTGATAACATCTTATACCACTTCATATTTAAAAAATGTTTCCATTTAAAAATAGTTCACTAACTTAATTTATTAAAATTTATTTTTCATGATAAAATTACAGCTTATGGGTAAAATATAGCATGTTTAACACCTCAAATAAGCAAAATAAAAGCATTCTAGGTTTTAAATATGCTAAAGGCTGATATTTTCCTTATTCAGAAGTATATCATTAAAATGTTAGCCAAACCCTGACTCTACTCTTACCTCCTTCCCATTTACTGGTAATTATTTGAAAATTGTCACTTTTTTTGGGGAGGGTAGGAAAAATTATTAATGTAGAAGGAGGCTGCATTCCTTTCTTTACTACTGTTTTGAGTATATCTCAATTTTTGCAACTAATAATTTCTAGTACTTTCAAATTTAGTTTGTCTGATACATAGTAGATGCTTAGTATACTTCTTTAAATGAGTAGTGACATTGTTGTTTTAGGCTGTTCAAGCTTGAATTGTGGAAAATATATTTAACTGATACTCATTGATATCAAGGACATGAACTTCAGAAACTTGCTATTAGAAATACTTTTCTGTTTTTAGAATAAAGGCAATTATATTTTTTTCACTTTTTAAAATTAACGTGTGATTCATGTAGTGTGTAAAACTAAAAAGTATGTGTGAACTTGGTATGTATCATTGTAAGCATGACATTGGAACATTTGTGGGCCTTTGTATCGCATTATGCAAAGGAAAAAATTATTTGTCTATATTGCAGAAATTATATGGTGTTTGATTCTTTGGAGTAGGAAATTTTTAATTATAAAACTGTTAGATTTGTTACTTGTCCATTGAAAGTTTGAATTTAAACATGTGTTCACTGGACATAGTTATATTTATCTCTGTGGTTTGTTTTAAATTCCAGGAAAAAAAAAAGCTGTGACCTTTAATAATTAGTGAATGGATTTAAATTTTGGGGAAAGCATAATGGCATAAGTGATTATTTTATATCAGTATATTGGTAGATGTGGTTTTTCTATAGTTAGTTTTTTTATCTTAAAGGAAATGTCCAGAAGAAACTGGTATAGCAATATTATTTTATTTATGTACTTTATTGACATCTGAATAATCTTCTGATTTCAAAGGATACATAATATGTCTTAATTTCTGTATATTTGCAGCAATATAAGGAGCTAAAGAGAGCTAAAGATATTTCTTTCGGAAGAGCTGACTTAGAGATTAGAGTTTTCTTGTATTTTGGAGTAACATTGTGAGACCCCAAGCCTTTCCCTCATGAAAGATGTAGTTGTGCAGTATAATTCCCTTTCGTATGTTCTTTTGGAGGAATACTTAATTTAACATTGGGCTTTTTTTGAGAAATAATAGAACAGATGTAGAATTTTTTTAGCTGAAAGCATATATCTTATAGTTTAAAAAAATGTTTTTTTAAAGTTTTATTCCTAAAACAACTTGTATGATAGCTCACACTTCTTCAAAAGTCATTGGAAAAGATGAGGATGTATTTCTATTACTTGTCTGGAGAAATCTGTTATAATGCTATTTCTTCATTAAGGTGTTAATTTTCTTGCATTATCATAAGACTGAATTTGTCCCTTTTGTATGATAGAGTCTGTGATGTTCTTACAGTGACCTTGAGAGGTGTTTCTCTCTGTAGGAGTTAAAAGTGAGGTCCTGTGTTATGTTAGGCGAGTGTATCAGGAGAAAACTTGTTGAAAGGATTGATAAAATGGAAGTAGTTCAGGTGTTTAAATCCACTTTTCCCTCCAACTTCAGAGTCTGAGTTTGTAGAACTAAATTGTGGTATTGGGTTTCATTTTTAGTAGTAGTTTGAATGTTTACATGATATCCAAAAAATTTCCTTTATTAGTTTTTGAATCCAAGTAGTAAGAGATATTGAAATGGAATGGGTATATTCATTTTGTAAGCTCTCTATATATTGAATCTATTTTTGATATTTTCAGAAAGTTACTTTACTTAGCAGGTAAAGCTTTACTTTTTGTTATTCAAAGCAGATTTTTGTAATATAATTTCTTCTTGCCTAAGATTTTTGGAAGTAATTGTAAGAACTATTTTTCCGCTTTTAATTTTTAAAAGGAATACAGTTTTTCATTCTTCAGTTACTGATCACTTTTTTGGGGGAAATTTTTCATTTGTACAGGCTTTATGCTTTTTGAAAGTATTGATATAGAGCCAGAAAAAATGAATTCTCATTAAATTAAGTTTTTTTAATTAGACTTTTTGTTTCAAATAATTGTTAGTTTCATATGCAGTTGTAAGAAACAATACAGAGATCCTGTGTACACTTTAGCCAGTTTTCCACAGTAGTAGCATCTTGCAAAACTGTAGTGCAATATTAGAACTAGGTTATTGACAGTGATACAGTGAGGATACAAAAACTTCCATTACCATAAGGATCCCTGGTGTTTCCCTTTTATAACTGCATCCACTTCTCAAGTAATTAAAGAAAATCCATGGTAATATTAGTAAATACCTGTGCACCCTATTAAACATGGAATAAGCTTTTCAAATTGTTGTGGCATTATTTGTAACATTTGAAAGAAATCAAGAAAGAAAACCAAAATGTTATCAATGAACTGTAATATAGGTAGGAATGGTAATTTTAAATAGAGGGTAAACTAGGTTTGTTCTTTTCATTTAAGGTAATGAGTAGGGTGTGGTTCATAGTGTGTACCTGTCAGTATTAAAATTTGTAATAATTATAATGTCTAGTAATACACACTTGTTCAAATTTAGGACTGTTGTTTGAACCATGTTGGACATTTGCTCCTGCCAAGCTGTAGTGATGAATGAAAGTAACTGCAGAGTCAGTAGGCATGTAAAGAAAAATATAATATTTTAGGATAAATACGGCCTGCGGTTAAGTGGCTCATTTAAGGTAAAAGCTAAGTAGCAAAGGAGTCCTTTAGAGATAAGCTGTATATGAAAGTATCAACTTGGAAAACAAAAATTAGAGAAAAGATTATAACTGTGAGTATTGTGTGCTTTTTAGAACAGTTCCTGTAGTGTTTCTTTAAGTGGTCATGGCTTATAATGGATTTGGAAAACAATTTGATTAGATGACGAGACTTGTTTGTTGCATATAGTGAGGCATACCTATAAGGAATTTTATTTTTACCTGTTTTCATTAACAATTTAAATATAAATTCAACTTTCTGTCTTTTAGACTGTCCTTTAGTGTCTCTTTTTCTTTGAGTTTTAAAATAATTCTCTTGGAATAGGAAGATAAAGATTTCAACCTTAAACGCAAAAACGGTTGCTTTCACATTTTTAGATTTGAAGGGGACCATTGAGTGTAATCTCTTATTAAAGGCAGATAGTTTTTTCTGTGCTTGAACAATTGGAAATCATGCCTGGAATGTCACTGCCTGCTTAGTGTTGTAGAAGACTTGGTTATAACTCTGGCCATAAGAGAGTAAAGTAACACTATTATAGTCTCTTGGGAAAAAAAAAAAAGGCTATTTCTGGACAGTGTGTGGGATACCCTTTTTTTTTTAATCATTAAGATTGCTTTTGGGTATCATTTGAATATATTTTTTTGGATGAGGTTGTTGCAATTAGAAATCTAATGCTTTTGCGTTTAGGGAATAAAATGAGAAGACAAACATTTAAATGTCAGTTCAAAAGATGAATGAGGGCGCCTGGGTGGCTCAGTTGGTTAAGCGACTGCCTTCGGCTCAGGTCATGATCCTGGAGTCCCTGGATCGAGTCCCGCATCGGGCTCCCTGCTCGGCAGGGAGTCTGCTTCTCCCTCTGACCCTCCCCCCTCTCATGTGCTTGCTCTCTCTCATTCTCTCTCTCTCAAATAAATAAATAAAATCTTTAAAAAAAAAAAAAAAGATGAATGAATGACTTTCTTAAATAGTTGAGCCATACGTATCTCAGATTTATCAATTAATTGCATATTTATTTAGTATCTACTTTGTGCAGTCTGCTATTCTACGATCTTTTAGGAAGGTGGGAAATGGAGA